CTATTGCGCCGCCTATGTTTTACAAAGACGCCGACATTTGAGTGTCGAATTTTGTTTTTATGACTTGTCCAACTGACATCGTAGAAACTTTACCTGAAGTCATATTTAATTTATTACTGAACATCACAGTTTTTTAACAACAAGATGTATAATCTTTTATAACTATATGTAATTTAAAGGGTTTTTACCCATGTATTTTTGGTGGCTCAGGCATTTTAACCTAGCGATTTTAAACCTGATGATGGACTGTTTAGTCCGAAAACGTTTGTTTTTTTGATGTAACCCTTTTAAGGGTTTTTAAATAAATATACCCACTTACGAAGACTAACCTCTTTTTTTGTGATACGTGGTATACAGCCAGCTACAGGAATTGTTTTCCTTGTGGGTTTTGTTAATTTTTTTAATACTTCATTTGAGCAGCTATCAATCAAAACGCAATAAATCCACTAAAACTGATTTGGGAGTTAAATGCAGAAATGTTACCTTACTAGCTGTTAAGTTACAAATTTAAATCAGATGATATTTTAAAGAACAAGGGTACTCTATTTTATGTAAATCGTAATATTGAACGCACAATATATTTCATGATATGTGAAAAAAAGAGTGGATTTATACGGATACGAATGATTTTAAAAACATATGTGTGCATATTTATAAGTAAAATGCACATTAAATTAAAAAAAAAAAAATAAATAAAAAAAAAACAATGAAAATTAAAAAACAAATACTATAAATCAAAGTTACCTATAGCCTATAGCCACACGTTACAAACTAAACTAGGTTCTATAACATCCTAAATATAACATCTTAATCTGATTCAGATTGCATGTTCTGTTTTATCTCAGCATAATGTTCTCACCCATATTTGCTTTAAATGTCCTGGGTAAGTCCACTGATCACAGCTGCTGCACCATTTTCGTGTGCTCTTATTCCTTCATCATCATCCAGCCGAATTTTCACATCCATTGTTGGATATAGGCCTCCTCCAAACGTCTCCAGTTCTCTCTATCTCTAGCTGCTGCAATCCAGTTTGTTTCTATTCTCTTTAGGTCGTCGGTCCATCGGGTGGGTGGTCTGCCTCGACTTCGCTTGTCGGCTCTTGGTCTCCACTCCAATAATCTCTTCGTCCATCTTCCGTCTTCCATTCTAGCAACATGTCCAGCCCACCTCCACTTTTGTTTATTGATTCGCAGTATAATATCGTCTACGCCAGTTCGTCGGCGTATCTCCTCATTTCTTACGCGATCTTTCAAGGTCAGGCCCAGCATTGATCTCTCCATTCGCCTTTGTGTTACCCTCAGTTTTTCGGCAGTAGCTTTTGTTAAAGTTAAGGTCTCTGCTCCGTAGGTCAAGACTGGTAAGATGCATTGGTTAAATGCCTTCCTTTTCAGGTGAATTGGGATATTTGTTTTAAAAATGTCTCTCATCCGTCCATATGCCGCCCATCCCAACGTGATTCGTCTATTTAGCTCGCAGGTTTGGTTGTCTCTGGTTATTCTAATTTCATGACCCAAGTATGTGTATTTATCGATTAATTCTACCTTGTTGTTATTGATCTGTATCTCTTCGCTGGGAACCATATTGGTCATCATTTTGGTTTTCTCAAAATTTATCTCCAGCCCAGTTTCTTGTAGTATGTCATTCAGTTCTTGGAGCATGTCTTTGATCTCTCCCAGATTATCTGACAGAAGCACGATATCGTCCGCAAAGCGTAGATGGTTTAATCTTTCTCCATCGATGGATATTCCTTTCTGTTGCCATGTTAGTCTTTTAAATGCATACTCAAGAACGGTAATGAACAGCTTTGGTGACATGGTATCACCTTGCCTGACTCCCCTTTTTATCTTTATTTTATTAGTTGCAGAATATAGACTTATGGTTGTTGTGGCATTTTCATATATATTTTTAATTATATTACAATATCTGTGGTCGATCCTGCAATCTTGTAGTGCTCTTAAGATGGACGGTAGTTCCACTGTATCAAACGCCTTTTTAAAGTCTACAAATATCAATGCCAAGGGACGGTTATATTCGTTAGTTTTTTCTATTAGGGTTTTTAGGCACTGCAGGTGATCGTTTGTGCCATAATTAGGGCGGAAACCAGCTTGTTCCCGAGGTTGGTAAAAATCCAGCTTTGCTGCTCTATTCCTTGCTCTACCATAAATATGACAACGCCCAAAGATCGAGTCGGAACTTCTTTAGGAGTTTCCTTATTTGTTTTGAAAAGAAATAAAATTTTGTAGTTTATTTTTGTTGTTATCTGTGAGTGTTGTCTAGTCGCCTTAAAATCAGTGATTTTATTAACTCACACGAAATGTGCGATTTGTTCCAAGAAATTGGAACCCAATGCTACCGAAGAGTTGGGCATATCTTTATGACGTTGGGACATAACATTAGACTTGCACCTATGACGAATCCCCATCATTATCACTTTCGTTATTGAATGAGGATCCACCATTATTCAGCGCAGTAAGCTCATATGGGTCCGAAAATAGAGCATCAACTAAACAGGCTGCATTGCCATTTACTAACAGTGATTCAAATATCATAGTACGCCCAGCCAATCTTAAAAACGAAACATATTGACCATCAAATGCTTACACCACTTGAAATTGCCGAGCTCCAAGCAACAAAAACACCGCCTAGACAAACATCTCTAAAACCTAGCCAAGAATTGAAAGCTGGTATAATGAATCTGGACTCAGATATCTGTCGTAGTAATACTGTTTTGCATCAGCAATCAGAACCTTCTAAAAGCAAGCAGTCTGTGTTTTCGCCTGAGACTTTAAGGCCTTGCCCTAAAGCTCCACCTAGAAAACTATGAAACAGGTCGAAAACCAAAAAGTCTGCTATCTAGGCAGATACTCCTGAAAAGGAAGCTACTAGAAAAGACTATGAAGAGCGACGGAAACGGTTTGAAAATAAACAAACAAAGAAAAAAGTACTCGAATCATGTACTGCAACGATAATCAAAGACAAAGCGAGAGAAAAACCGAATAAAATGAAGACTAATACACCGCCATAATTATCATCAGAAGTAGGATTATTGGAAGGAAATATAATTTGTTTAAACTCAGATTTTGTTTCGAATTTTTATTAATAATTCTGATTAAAAACAATAAAACTGATATTATATGCGTGATTTATGTATTATTTTTGAAAATTACAACTGTCCCCTATTTGTATTACAATCGCCCCTGTTATTGGGCTGATTGTAACAATCACACACACTTATTTAAATGGCATATTCTGTCCAAACTGTTTTACTTTTCTGGACTTTGCAATAATTTAAAGACACATGAATATACCTTCACATCAAATGCTTTGATCATTGCTTACAGTTGAAATAGCTGTGCTGTGAACGATTAAAGGAAAATCGTTACAATCGTCCCCAGTCTACCCTATGTCAAAACCATTAGTAAACATCTATAATGATAAAAATATACATAAATACAAGATAATACTGAAAATGTAAATGATGAATAAATTCTATATTATATTTAACAAATTTTGAAAATTAATAATATCATTAAACAAAATTTTTAAATAAAACATTAGGATTTTTTAAATGTTAAGGAACTTAACCAGTTGTTGTTCCAGTATGGAATTCAACGGCAGAGTTTAACTGGAAGAAACTTGAGAGAACAGAAACAACATGTTACAGATTGGCAACACTGGGTTTAAAATGCAACCATCCAATAAAGGCTCCAGTACACACCCTTGAGGGAGATGGCAGAGAACAGAACAAGATATTTCTTCCACCAGGACATAAAAAGATTCCTAAAGACCAAACACATCTTAACAAAAATCATATAGATATCATATCGAACAAAAATTGTATATCATAAAAAAACATCGACTAATTCAGAGGACTGAACCTAATCAGGGTTTAGCCAGGTGGTTGCTGAAGACAACTAATCAGGTATGGTGCCAAAAATAGTACCTTCACAACTATATCTTCATTAGTCCAGCTACATAGAAAACCAGGTACCTGAAGAGGATTCAATCCTACAATGTAAGCAGTGCAGAACATTGACGGAAGAATAAGGCCGAAATATTTTCTATATATTTTATTGATATGTAAATATTATTAGGCAATAAGCATTTTTATTTTAAAGACTAGTGTCTTGCATATACTGTATACATTATTCACCTTATAGCTCATTGTATCAAAATGAGACATATTTTTATCCATATTATCATAGAAGTTTGCTGTTTTCACTTCTCTAATCAACCAATTAGAATTTATATAAAGAAAACAAACTTTATTTGGTACTTGTTCTTAATACAGACATAGAAGAAATGATATATAAATGTATAGATAAATCCAAAATAAACGAACTAATGTACAGGCATAATTCTTTTGGCATAATAACCCTAGATGGGTTTTTGCCTGTTTGGCTATGTCCTTCCATTCAGATCTCTCTTGGGTCATTTTCCTCCATTTTCTTATATTCATGGTTTTTAGGTGGTCTTCCAACCATATCATCCTAGACCTTCCTACCAGCTTCCACTGTAACATCTTCTTTGTTGTTTTCGTATCTTCTTGTCACTGTAGATGTCTCAGCAATGACAGCCTTTGACTTTTCACAAATCTTATAATGTCACTTTAGAAGCTAAAGCATGAAATTCCATTACATATAAAGTTTAACTAGATAACACTTGTACAGTAACATTAAGCAGTTAAAATACTTTCTTATAGATAGGTCCTGATCTGGCCAGAATTTCATGGTCCAGTCTTGTTAGTGGTCGGAATTCTGGTTCCGGCCAAGTACCTGATATGATACATCCATACCTGCAATATACCGTAACCTCTTATTTATTTAGAGCTACTGTAAAAATATATTCTTTTGATTTTAAAATGATAGTTCAGAAATCCCTAGCTCATGAACTGTTATCATTTCATCTATTACAAAATACTCCCATTTTTAAGTTTAACAATTACTCACAAATCTATACCATTATTATGTATAAACACTAAATAAAACAAATGAAATCTTAGTTCACAATTTTACTCTACTAAGTATTGATCTTTAGTTATTAATTACAAAATTAAATAAAAACCACCCATAAAATACATCCTTGAACATAAATATTTAATTAAAAACTATCCTGAACAACCTCTGCACCCACAGTGCACACATTCGACAATCCTTCCTTCTTCTAACTTAGATTTAGGTACACGACAAATACAGTTTGTTCCAAAGTTAGTGTCTCTTGTTTGAATACATCTTAGGCAACAAAGACTCTCATATCCTTGCTTCTTCCACTTCGCTATTAAATTTTTATCTGCAATGTTTTCCTCAAGACAATAGTCGTATAGTTCCCTGCTAATTGCTTTTCTTCTATAAAAAAGATCAAATATATATCTGGATTTCTGATGATGGATTTTGAAAATTGGCCACAATGATTCATTTTTCCGTTTACCTTCATGTGATTCTGTTTCGGCTGAAAAAAAAAACAAACTCTCAAAATACAAACATGCAGATTCTTTGCTAACTTTAAAGGTATTTTACAATTAAGATATAATTAATGTTTAAAAAAATGTTAGGGACATGATTAGAGCTTATAAAACCTGGTTTTGTACAAAAAATGGCGAAAATAATTTCAAATGGAAAAACCAAGATTGAAATGATGAAAAAACACTCAACAATTCCACAACCTGCGCTTTCAGCTCATTCAAGCTTGAAAAGTCCTAAGCAGTTTTATTAGTAACCTACCTTCTCTCATTTTTTGTTCTAACTCGTCTAATGTGGGTTCTATCAGTTCCCAACCCTCAGGAGGAGGTTTTTTACTTCGTCGTACTTTTGGCATATTTTATTATATAATAAATAAATATAAAAAACAATATTTATCTTTCAGGATATTGTTTATAAATATGACAATTAAAAATTTTAGAATATTTAATTTGACACATGACAAATCTACAACTGACAGTACACAGTAAAACCAACTGTTAAAAGTTTATAAGAACATAATTATATTTGGCTCATTGTGTTGTCAATAGAACGAAATTGGAATTTATAATATTTAAAATCTATTTAAATGAGTAAGATTTTAGTACATTATTCTATTTTCAGTGGATTGTTAATAATAATTTTTCTAACTTACATCATTTAGAATGACTAATACAAAAAATAGCAGGGTGAAAGTAGTTTCCTTAAAAATAACAAACTTCAATGCAAACGATGTCCAATATATACCAAAGAACCCAGATTTGTCGACTTACATCTCCCCAGATCTGGTTCTTCTATTAGCTGTGATTTTTCTAGCTTCATTAAAATGTTTTCTATATTTCGGATAGTCTTTTGTGTCCGTTATGTGTTCACTATTACATATGCAGCTGTAAGTTGTATTTTGTCAATTTTTCAAATAGTGGCTATCTTTTCAGGGGTTCAAATGGGGTAGTGATGCGTAAAATATGACGCTGCATCCTATTAGCGTCACTAGCCTCTCCTACTCAATTCCAACTCTTACCTCCACTCGGTGAACTCTGGTAACCTGAGCAACTCTGTGGAAGATTGTGGTAACCAACCCCAGTGGGAAGCAGAGTCAGGGCAAACGAGAGTAGGAGAAATGGTCCTTCGAAGATTAGGGGGTTGGGCAAAAGGTTAACGACCTCTTCCCTTAAAAAAACTCATTGTTATGAAAGCACAACGTGGAAAAACCGGACTGTTTAATTCACGACGACCTAGCAAACGACAATGGAATAACGATTTACGGATATGCACATGGAATGTACGAACTCTTTATGCCCCAGGTGCTCTTAGACTGCTAACACAAGAACTTGATAAAATGAAAGCCGATGTAGTAGCGATTCAAGAGATGAGATGGACTGGTTCAGGAATCATCGAGAAAAGAGACTACAATATATACTATAGCGGACATATCAGCCGACACGAGTTTGGCAGTGGTTTTCGAGTCAGAAACCATTAACCAGATAGATCACATCCTGATAGATGCAAGGCACTCCTCCGATCTCATAGACGTCAGAAGCTACCGAGGTCCAAACATTGACAGTGGCCACTTTCTTGTAATGGCAAAAATCAGAGGAAGAATATCAAACCTAAAGAAAGATAAACACACGAAACAAGACAGAATTAATGTTGATAATCTGCGCATTAGGAGATAGAAAGATAGAAACTCGAAAGTTCTACAGAAATCTAAACAAAATGCGCAAAGAATTTAAGCCAAGAATAAGGAGCTGTAAGGAAAATTTAATGGCCATCATATCGAAGAAGCAGATAACACCCTAGCAAATCGAAAGGATTGGAATCCTTTCAACCCAAACGAAAGACCACCTACCATCGAAAACTTTGCCCAAGCCATTAAAAAGCTTAAAAATAATAAATCACCAGGAGTTGATCAAATTTGCAGTGAGCTCTACAAGAATGGTGGCGATGCCCTACTACAGACACTACATAAGCTTTTACTTCTTGTTTGGCATAATGAGACCATGCTTTGTGAATGGTCTCAAGGCGTGATATGTCCGTTACATAAAAAAGGTGACCAGCTCCAGTGTGACAACTATAGAGGTATAACCCTGTTAACAACTGCTTACAAAATATTAGCAAATATTCTCTACGAAAGATTGCAAGTTTACACAGTGGGCATAATTGGTAAATATCAAGTTGGATTCACTCCAGAAAAATCAACAATTGACCAGATTCATTCAATAAGACAGATTCTCGAGAAAACATTAGAATTCAATATTGAAACCCATCACCTATTCGTCGACTTCAAGGCCGCATACGACAGTGTCAAGAGAACAGTGCTATACCAATCAATGCATGAGTTTGGTATACCAGAGAAACTTATCCGACTAACGAGAATGACAATGTCTAACTTAGAAGCCACTGTTAGAATACAGGGAGAGAGTTCTAGATCCTTTGAGATAAAGGATGGACTAAGACAAGGAGATGCTCTGGCTTGCCTCCTATTTAATATTGCCTTAGAAAAGGCAGTCCGGGATACACGAATTAGGGATGGCGGTACTATTTACAATAGATCGATGCAAGTCTTAGCATATACTGATGACATTGACATAGTAGGGCGTAGCAAGCGAGATGTTGAGCAATATCTCCTAGAATTGGAAACAGCGGCGAAACAGGTCGGTCTAGTCATCAACGAAGACAAAACCAAGTACATGTTGGTTACGAAGGATCCGATAGCAAATGAGGAACGAGAAATAGTCTTTGGAAGTCATACCTTTGGACGTGTTGACAACTTCACATACCTTGGGTCGCTATTGACTGCTACCAATAAAACAAGCGAAGAAATCAAAAGACGAATAAATCTTACAAATAGGGCATACTATGGACTTCAAAAGCATTTCCACTCAAGAAACATTCAAAGAAAAACTAAAATTATTATATACAAAACATTGCTGAGGCCGGTCCTCACATATGGAGCAGAAACATGGACTCTAACGCAGAAAGATGAAAGACTTTTGGGAATATTTGAGCGTAAAATACTCATCAAATTATTTGGAGCTGTAAACGACCAAGGGCAGTGGCTCAGAAGATATAATTTTGAATTGTATCAGCTCTTTGATGAGCCAGATGTCATAACGTTCATTTAAAACACAGCGACTTAGATGGGCTGGACACATAATACGAATGCCAGAAAATACCATTGCTAAAAAGCTAACCACAGGAACACCTGTAGGAAAAAGAAGCAAAGGCCGACCGCGAATTAGGTGGTTAGATGGAGTAGAAACCGACTTACGAATATTAAAAATCAGAAGATGGTAACATGTTGCCAAAAACCGAACAGAATGGCGACGAATCTTAGAGCAGACCAAGATCCACAGAGGATTGTCGAGCCAAAGATGATGATGATGATGATGATGGCTATCTTTTCAGCAGTTAAAGCACTTGCCTATCCCTGTTCTTTCCTTACATATGTGTTTCTCGTCTCCAAAATGCAGGTATGTGTAACACCTCTTTAGACGCCACAATTTCGCATGTTAAAAAACTTATTTTGATCCATTTTTGCTTATTTGGATTTCGACTGCCTTCGTCTTGGCCGTTATTATTACCTTTTTCCTCTTTATATTGCTTTTATCACCTGGGTTGTTATTGTATTAACCTCTCTATATTTCAAGTTTTCTTTCAATGCTCCAATCACCTTCTTCGTTGTTCATGGTTTTGACTGTGTCATAAATGAAAAAAGTTTGGTCCGAAAGTCTGGAATTAATTTCCCGTCCTGTTTTGCTATCTAGTTCCTGAGTTAGACCTTTAATTTGATGTTTTTGCTCCTCTTATTTACAGTTCAAGACCCTTACCCCTTCGCTTTTTCCTTCAGAGTTTTATTTTTTGTCTGTTATTTCTAACATATTTGTATATTTTTTCAGATGTTTACTCATTCTGACTTTACTTTTAGATTTGAGAACACCGTCGTGATAGTGGTCACCCCAGATTCTGAAGAGAACATTCTAGGAACTTTCTGTAATTCTTCCAAGCCATATCTTGACCAATTATGCAGAACAAGTTTTGGATTTTGTCCTCCCTTACTTTAACTTCTGTTATGTCTTCAGCCAGATCCATTATCGCATCAAAATTCTCTGCGTCTCCTTGCTTTCGATAAGTTGTTGAAGATCTTCTATACTCGTTTCTTCGATCACAGTGTCGTGTCTGCATATCTTAAGTTGTTAATTAATTTCCCGTTAACGGTGACTCCCGCTTCAATATTATTGAGCGTGGTTTGGAAAATTTCTTCAGAATATAAGTTAAACAAAAGTGGCGATAAAACACATCCCTGTCTAACTCCTCTACAGATCCTCATTTCTTCTGAGTGTTGCCCATCAATTTGAACTAAGACACTTTGGCTTCAATATAATGTTTGCACTATATTTATGATTTTATTATCAATGCGCTTGTTCATAAGTATTGATAAAGGTAATGGATTTTGACAAGAGCTATGAGTCATGCCGATGCAGTACACAAGTTTATCTGATATTTGCAAGGTCATAGCTCTTGTTAATATCCATTACCTATATTAGTTTTTCATGTCTTACTTTATCGAAAGCTTTTTCGTACTCAACGAAGCACAAGTGTAGATCAACATTTACATCCCGACATCGCTGAATCAATATGTTGATGGCAAATAGTCTTTCTCGAGTACCCATTCCATTTCGAAACCCGAACTGCGTCTCGCTAATATTCTCCTCTAGCCTTTCGTATATTCTCTTATGTATTACTTTTAGCAGAACTTTTAAAGTATGACTCATGAGGCTCAGTGTTCGATAGTTCGATAGCACTCTTTTGCTGCTTGTTTTTAGAGATGGTTATAAATGCTGACTTCAGCCACTCTTGTGGTATTATTCCCGTATCGTACACCAACTGCCTTATTGTCTTTTGCATTTTTGATAGCATATTTGATTTCATCTATCGTGATCCTCTGTCTCTCTACAGGATTTAATTCTTGTACTGTCTGCATTTCACCTCTTTCATGTTGGAAAAGTTCTCTAACGTACTCCTCCCATCGTCCTAACTTCTCTGGTAAATCTATTAGTAGTACTCCTTCTTTGTCTTTTATGTGTCCTTGCTGTCTAGTTAGACCCATTCCAGTCACTTCTCTAATTTTTTTGTGCATATTTCTCATATTATATTTTGTTTCTAGTTCTTCTATCTCCTTACATTATTTCATCAAATAGATTTCCTTAGCTGTTTTGATTTTTTCCTTAATTATTCGTTGTATTTCTTTATACTTCTGTAGATCTTTTCCTTTATATTTCCTTCTTTCTTCCATCAATAATAGTATTTCTTCTGTCATCCAGTGTTTTTTAGCCTCTCACCTATGTTGTAAACTTTCTTAAGCTGGTTTCACTAATGTGTTTTTTTATATTATACCACTTTTTATTTACATCCATCAATTGTTTGTTGTCAGT